TCTATAGCTTCTCAAACAAAATGGAGGCTGAAAATTTTTAATAAAAATGAATGCCTTGTGTCATTTACTGGAAGAGATAGATTATATGATTGAAAAAACTTAAAATATTAATAATAAGATCAAATATTGGTACAGAAGTTTCTTCTCACCTGAATATTTTTATTAAAGGTTGTTATGAAAGAATTTATAATTTTCTGACATTTCTTATTTTAATCTCATGTTGATAAATTAAGTAGTAAGTAATTTTTTTTAAATTTTTACTTATTTATTTACATGGAATTGAAGTAATTTACAAAAATACTTTTGTATACCTATTTGATCAATAAGTAAAGTGTGTGGTGAATATTTTAATATTTGCATCATCTTTTAAATTATCTTCTTTATGTTAAATTTATTGTCATAGAAATATTTTGTTACTTCCAAAATAAAAGAAAAAAATAAAGAGCATTAGAATTTGCTCTCTAAAATAATGGGTCATCTTTATAAATATAATGCAAAATATTAGAATTATTCAATTATTTCTAGCTGAAAAGAAAATACTATTTAGATTATTTACAGGCAGACTATTGTTTTCATCTTTGTTGTTGTTATAATAATATTTTAGCCCATGTGCTCTCCAGCCTTCATCAGACATTTGTCAGTCTGGGTAAGAAGTACTTGATGAAGACCAGAGGGCACAATGGCTGAAAAATTGACATCAACAAAGATGAGGACAGTTGTCTGCATGTAAATAACGACGACTTCACATCCCAGAAATTCAGTCAGAAAAGAAAATAATAGTTTTGGTAGTGTTGTATGTTGTCTACAAATATAAAACTATCAAGAAATTTTAAACTTTCATATCCAAATAATTGTCCCCAAAATACTGAAAGTCCTTTTAATTAATTATTCAATTATATTTCTTGTTTAATTTTTCTCTTTTTGTTATTAGAAGGTCAGAGAAAACTGCCAAAAATTCAATTACAAAAGAAAATGAATATATACAAAATACATGACAATTCATCAAGTTTTGTTTATAGTTGGATCTCTATCCAAAATGTTAAAGGTGTTTTTTTTTTGTTTTTTTTTTTTAATCTTTAAAAATTGCCTAGAAAAACAATATCTTTAAATTTTGAATTGGTTTGATGATATTACAAGGTGTTCTAGATATCATGAGAGTTTAATTCTGCTAGAAAATGGTGGCTATATTGATTGTATTATATTTTTTACATAAAACCTTTTTTCATTTTTGTCTATTTACCAATAAAAAATCTCATGAGATTTTCTCAAGTTCATGATTTTTCAAACACTGTATACAAGCAGCCTTCTATATTATACTTTTCATTTTTTCTCTTGTTTAATGACTTGTATAATTGGCTGTTGTTTTAAGTCAAAATTTCTTTATGTTGATAAATCACACACCTGAGCTGTTTCAACTCAAAGGTGAATTCTTATCTTGTTCAGCTTTGTGAATATCTCTTATCAATCCTCTCCAAACTTCCTTGTTCTGAGTTAATTCACAAAAGCACTTATAGCTCTTCTAAGCTCCTCAAAATTTTTACAAGAGTTGATGGAACTTTATTAATAGGTTTTTTTCATTCAATGTGTATACCAGTGTTTCTCAACTGCTGTTCCTGACTGCACTAATATGCCCTGAAACTTAGCCAGGTGCACCCCAAATTAACAGATTATTAATTTATGAATTATTTTTATATTTAAATTTTTTTTTTATAAAGCTAGAGACTCCAAATCCTCCTTTCCCTTCCTCAATGGAATTTAAATCAGTCACTATTGGATACTTTAATTATATTATAATATATATATATATATATATATATATATATATATATATATATATATATATATATATATATATATATATATATGATAAAATAAAAGAACAAATAGGAAATAGGTACCTCCATGAAATCGCTAAAAAATGAGCATAGCTTGATGAAAAAGACTCCTTGCTGAAAACAAAATTTTATCTTCTAAATGCTTGTTATTATTAAGAGGAAAGACCAAAGTTTTTTTAATTATTTTTAAAAAATTTTTCCTTCTTTTTAGAACATTCTAAATTTTGATTAAAAAAAACCTTGTTTCTCTTTGTATCACCGGAACTAGTAAAATATATAATTTTTAGCAAGTTTTTTTGGTATGACACACATTAAATTGGAAAATCTTGCAAAAATAAAAATAATTGTTGGATGTTAATGAAACTTTCAGGAACTATTCACAGATGATTGAAATTATTATAAACAAGTTTTTTTTTTTTTTATTAAAGACATGGCAGAAATATATTTTTTTTTGTATTTATTGCCCTCCCCCCCTACTAATTTTATGAAAATGCTAGAAATTCGATCGCATCGGGTTTAGTGATTACAATAGTTAAAAGCACAAGGCTTTGAGGAATGCAAATCATGTTTTTTTTTTGTTTTTTTTTTTTTTGTTTTTTAATTGGACCCCTCCTACCTGAAAATCAGCTCTGAATTGTAACATACAAAACTCAATAAAACAATTATTTAATTTCAAATGCTTTTATTTGCTTTTAGTTGTTTTTATGAATATGGACAATATTTTCTGAAAGCAAAAAATTTATTCGATGAAAAATGAATTTTTAATACAATTATTTGTTATTTCTTTATTATAATAATTTTTTACATTTAAGTTGTTAAAATATAAAATTAGTTAAAAGCTGCATCGGGTTTCCTAAGTCTCCTTATGAGATAGATCTTTTTTTAGCGCGTTGTAAATTGTATCATTTTGACTAATCAAAAGATCCACAGTAATTAAGAAATGTAATTTTGTGTTTATAATCGGGTTGTAATTGTAAAGTACGGAAGACCAACCCGGATACAATTAAGTTGCGTTATTTGAGTTAAGCATTGTTCCCACTGTTAAGGCCCCTACTTTTGCGAAACACATGTAGAGAAGTTAATTTGATTTTTCAATTTCAACTGAGTACCTACAAGTATCAGTATCATCTTATGAAATTTAAATGATCTTATTTTTATATTAATCTCAGTTATGACATTTTTCCATAAATGAAATATCAAAACAATAAAATGAATGGAAATACAAATAACACAGTATAATGTAATAAATGTACATAAAATTATAGTATTTTATGTACACTTCTGATAAAATTTCATAAGAAAGGTACCTATAAATTAATTAGATACCTTTCTTATGAAATTTAATCTCACTCTTAACAGTCTTATTTTAATTTCTTTATATTTTCCATAAAGCATCGTAAACATAAAGGTGAAAGCTAAGTACAAAAAAAAATTAGAGTGCTGAAAGTTTTCCTTAAAAATAACGAGGTAAATAATTTGTTCACTTAAATGTGAATTATTTCACTTTTCCCCTTCCGTAGAACAAATTAGCCACACGGAATCCGTCAATATGTCATTCATCACCTGTCAAGTGATGCGAAAGTTTATGACCTGCTTTGTTTTATTTTCAAATTACATCTTTTCTGCACAGAAGCTAAGTTAAGCTTGGTTCAAGATATTTTAAATAAACATTATAATTTCTGATTTTCTTAAAATAAGTTTTGAAAAAATGATAATTGATATTTAAAAGAATTTCAAAGTGAGATTTCCAGTTTTTTTATAAAATGGAAAAAATTATCAATTTTGCTGACTCAAAAAAAAAAAACCCCAAGATTTTTAACGAAAATTTCGGACGTGCTAGGAACGATTAAAAAATGTAAAAAATGCCCCCAAAATACTTTGATCTTTCCTCTTAATAATAACATAAACATTTAGACGATAAAATTTTGTTTTCATCAAGTTTGGTGTCTTTTTCATCATGCTATGCTCTTTTTTTAGCGATTTCGTGGAGGTACCTATAACATTGAATGTTAGAACGTATTCTTCATATTAGATGTAAGTTAGATTCTTTAAGAATGGATTCAAAGAAAGATGGTAATGCAATGTTTTAGGAATGTATTTATAGTTGGTAATAATGTTATTAAGTTTTCAGTGTATTTTCTCCTTAAAGTATTATGTTCTTTTTTAATTAGGATAGCATTAGTGAAATTAAAGTTATATCCAGCATTATTTCGATGCATAATGAGAGTTAGATTGATTGTCCAAACACAAGTCTCTTGTGTTCATAGATGCAGGCTTTTAGATCACATGATGTCTCCCACACATTAATATGTTTGCATTGTAAACAATTTATTTAGACTGATATATGTTTCCTATTTATTCTTCTATTTTACCATCCTGTCAGATTCTGATCCGTATTTGATCTGTATCTTATAGCAGATTCTTCAGAAACCCCTTTAAATGAAAACTGTACCACTAATTTTCTTTGGGGATGCTAAACCAAAATTTCAGAATTTGTTAGTAATTTTTCCTTATTAAAATTTAAAGTCTGCATCAAAGTTGTTTTTTTTTTTTTTTTTTTTTTTTATTCTACAAGTATACCCTGAAGTAAAAAATGGTTGAGAAACAATGGTGTTTACTATGGTTGTTTGTTCCATTTAGTATTTATGGCAAAACCATTTCTATAATAATTATTCTCTCTTTTCAAAGCTATTAACTGCAATATTAATATCAAGTACTCCTTTGATTTTGGTTTCTTGGAGATAACATACATCAATATTATAACAATAAATGTCCCAGTCAATAATTCCTGCTTTTCTTTTTTCACAGTCCTCCTCATTTACAAAGTTTTAAATAATAAGTTATCAACTTTTAACAGTTGACAACTGGAGTGGTCATTAACTTCTCCAAACATGTTCATTAATATGATTAACATTTCAACCAGCTTAAATATCAGTAATGTATGTGCATAAACAAACATCAATATGATCATGTTTCAAATTTTTGTTAAATATGTTGGCTTAAGGCTTTCATCATAATAGTAGAATATGTCATTTTTTTTCTTTCTCTTTAAATATTGCAACAATTTTATGCCTTTTAAACTAATGTGTCTGTATAAAAGTATAAATTATGAAGTAGTATTTTCTTATTGCTGACACTCATATTTTTTTTTTTTTTTTTTTTCAGAAAATTAATTGATGCTGATGTCTTTTCTAAATCAGACCCCAGTAAGTGTATACTTATATTTTTAATTCTCTGAACATCATGAATGCATATATTGCATAACATTCTTTAAGGTTGGATCAGGATCAATTCAGTAAAGATAGATTAATAAAAACTTTGTTTTCCAATTGACATAAGTAATTTCCTTTGATTTTATTATTTATTTATTTTTTTAAAGTTTTCCTGTTATATTCCGCATAAAAACTCTAGTCATATATTTTTTCCAGTTTTTACCAAACTCTTTTATTTTTGACCATATAACCATGCAAAGGAGTCTAATCATAGAATAATGGTTAATATGTTCTCACAAATCATCACTACAGAGTTGTGAATTCAATCCTCATAAGGTGCCCTACATGTGACAAAACAATCTTTAACAAGCAAGCTGTCTTCTAATATTTTTATTATTGTATATGATTGCAGATGTGTGCATTTCTATTCAGCTGAGTCATTATTAAAAGTGATAAAATTTACAGATGTCTGCATTTGCAATTTAACATGTATTTTTAACTGAATATAAAAAATGATTATACCATTTAACTTAGATGCATGTATAGTTGTGACTGCTACTATTTGGCAGAAGGGTATCTCTTCAATTTTGAATTGAGCAGCCATGAGCACATAAGTGAATCAAAAGGCATTTCTGCATATATGGTGGAGAAAAGACTTGAGTAGTTTTAGAGTTTATTTGTTCCTTATGCATTCTCCTGTAACTTTAAACCTGTTGTTGACCTACATACTGGTGAGACAAGTATTTGGACAGTAAAAAAAAATCCATTTTTTTTTACTGTCCAAATATTTGTTTCGCCTCACTGCAGTTTGTCACAAAACTGACATAATTTTCCTGTAGGCCATATGTTGGTGGTTGCCAATGTAGCCTACTTAGGATTGCTTACTGGCAGGAGATATTTGATGATTAGTAAATCCTGCTATAAATAGAAAGACATGTATGCTAAAATTGAAGATTATCTTGGATTAATTCATGTCCTACTTTTTAAGAGCCCAGAGGAATGAAGTCATGTCCTGAGGTTAAATACAATACCTCTGGGCAAAGGTTATGTTGTTTTGCTGTGTTATTGTAAGCTTGTGCTGTTTTTATTGTTTTCTATATGAAACTGACAGTCACCATACAGTGTTGATACCTATGTCCACACTGCCTATAAATGTTTTAGTGCCAATATTGAGCACTCTTTTATAATATTGTAAATTTTAAGTAATATATTTATGCATGTGCGTGTGTCCCCATACACACACATTGTTTAAAATGTGCTATATTTATAGGGAAGAGTGCTCAATATTAATGATAGAATGTTTGCAGATATAAACATTGTAGATATAGAAATCAGCACTACATGATAACTTAGTTTCACACTTAAAAGCAATCATTAAGAGAATATGTTCATAACCCATCATGAAATATTTAGTTTGGTGATTATTTAAGACATGAAATTGCCAATTACTATGAAGTGTTGTTTTCTGTGTTCATACTGTTTTTTTTCTCTCTCTCTTGTTGTGTGTGCTTATGTTACACATATATAATTAGCTCCTACTTTGATTTTTTGACCTGTTGAGTACTATTTTAATTGGCATTAAAAAGAATATTTCTTTGGGTGTTTAAGTTACTTTTGTTTCTTTCTTTTTTTTTTTGCAAGAAAATGTTTGAAATTACCATTTTAACAGGCATCTCTATACCTACCTCTGTGAGTTTTGTCAATATACACAATTTGTGTGTGCAAACTGACTATTTGGTTTGCCTTAGTGGATATATAGAAACAAATCACCAAATAATATCAGCTGCCTGTTGAATGTGTGTTTCAGCACATGAAACTGATAGTCATAACTGGCCAGAAAAAACACCTATTTATCAATATCAAAAGAGATAGTAATCAGGGTCATAAATAAATTCTTATTTATGTTTATCTTTTGCTTCTTAGTGAGTGAATTATGTAAAGTGTGTGTGTGTGGCTGAGTGGTTAGAACATTCTCTTTCTGACCATAAAACCCATATTTGAACTTCGTCATGGTCAATTTGCTTAATAATAAGTAACCCCAGTTTAGCACTTTTGAAAAATGAGGAAAATTAGGTAGATGGAATTGTTTATTAATGGTTATGCTAGCACAAAGTTACAAGTCATTGTGACCAAGAGTTTGAGCATACTGGCTTTGTTAAAATAGTTGATCATACCAGATGATGTGCTCTCTCTCTCAGGAACTAAGGACAACTCAGCATAGTTGCAGCATAAACTACAAGTGAGCTCTGTGGTTGTTGAATAAACACAAACATACCGAAGAAGGCATCTGTAACACGGATTGGCGAGCTGCTGTAGCAGACACATTTACTTCAATATGAGCAGCCATTTTATATATATATATATATATATAGTTACGAAAAACTTGGTAATCCGTATGGGTAGTCCCAAGGGGGATTTAAATCCTGAGAGCTCAATGTAAATTCAGAGCTAATCATTTAAAGAAAAACAGTTTTTCTTTAAAATATATATATGTGTGTGTGATATAACTATCTAATTTTGTATAATTTTATATATCAACAAACAGTATTTAGAAAAATACGACAAACTGAAAAATATCTTATGACACATTTCATCCAGTCTGATGAAACACATCACAAGAAATCTTCAGTTTGTATATATATATATATATATATATATATATATATATATATATATATATTCTATACTCCTATTATAGTAGTAATTCCATGTCAGAGGGCATACATACTACTATACAACACATCACTATGGACAGTTTCTATATTCCTAGTCCTCATAAAAGAAAAACTGAATAAAAAAACTTGAAAAATTTTCCTTGTCTATTGCATTCAATGAAATAGATATAATTTACTATATTTGTAGGGGAAGAGTGTTGAATATCTGAGATAGAGCATTTATAGATATAGACTGTTGATTCACTTTATATATATATATATATATATATATAATACTTATACACACATGCACAACTAAAAACTAACTAAAATAGATTTTTTTGTATTTTTATTAAAAAGCCATGTTACATCTGGAGGTAAGTAACTCAATATTGTGATTCTTGAACTGAAGATTTGGTTTAAATTGAAAACTATTATTGCATATGAAAATACCATTGAATAGCTTAAATAGAACAATTTTTTATTATTATTTTTTTTTTCTAAATTTTACAATTTGATTTTGCTGATCAAGAATGATTAAGATGTTTATTTTACAGTTTTTCTTATACATTTTTTATGCTAATCTCAGGTGTCATTTTATATACTTATTTATAATGATTATTTGTGTCTGAATAATAAGGAATGGATATATTTTTAAAGTTAATTATCTTTGAAACAAAATAAACTCTTAAATATCTCTTTATAATAACTGATTGAAAATTTTCAAGACTTTATTTTAAAATTTTATTAAGATACTTGAAAATTAAATGTTGAATGAAATTGCAGTATCAAAACTTGTGATAATTTTTATTATATTCACATTTTTAATCATTGTCGCCATATTTATCACAATGTTTCGGCCGTTGTACGCTCCAACCTTCTTCAGGTGGTTGGAATTTCAAACTGAACCCTTTATTTTGCTCACTGGGGTAGACTGTTCTAGTTTGATGGATGTCAGTTATCAGTGAAAGTTCTCCACTGCCTTAACTGGGTATTGAACTCACACTCTTTGGGTCCTTTCACTGGATCTAACCAACATCTTTATCCACTGTGCCATGTGAGGACATCTGGGTATGAATTTCTGGGTATTATAAACCTAATGTCTTCAGCAACCATTTTTACCAGTGCTCATATTGCAATTTTGCTATTATCATTGCATGTTTTTACCAGAGCTCATATTGCAACTTTGTTGTTATCATTGCTTTTCTCTGGCACTCCTTATTACTGGTTCCCATATTGTATTTATTTCTATGCTTGGTCGGCTCAGGAGATTTTTGTGGCCTAGCATATGTGCTGATTCCTTAAGTTTACGAATTTTCCAATGGTGTTCCTTGTCTATGATCTCAACATGATCCCACAGAGGACGGTGATCTGCCTTCTCTCTCCATATGTGGTCAGCCACGCCTGATTTTTCTACTTCCCCTCGTGTTACAGCTTTCTGATTTTCTTGAAGCCTTACCTTGAGGGGGCAGCCTGTCTCTCCTTTATATTCTTTTCTGCAGCTGCACGGGATAGCGTACACAGAGTCTTTAGTCATGTTCTCCTTTATGGTGGGGGGTCTGGTGGGGAGAGATATCTGCTAAGTGTCGTCAAGCTTTTGAAGGTTGTCCTGATGTTATATGGACCGCAGATCCTTTGTATTTTCTCTGATAACCCCTTCACATAAGGCAGGCAGATTGTTTTCTGAGTGTTGTTGTCCTCCTCCTCTTGTACCCGCCTATCCCAGTTTTTGGGGGCTGCTGCCATGTACCCAGGGTAGTTATGTTGTAGGGTACTACTTATACTGACCAATTCTTTATCTAACATCTCTGGGTCTCCACTTATTACTTCTGCTTGGTGTTGTAAGCAACGGACGATCCCTTTCTTTACGCTGTATGGATGGTGTGAGTTGAAATTGAGGTACTGTCCGGTGAATGTCAGTTTACGGTATACAGATGTCTTAAACCCATGCTCTGTTCGAGATATTAGAATATCCAGGAATGGGAGTGTGTTGTTACTCTCTTTCTCCATTGTGAATTCGAAGGTCTTATTGAGTTCACATGGTCCAGTAGAACCTGAACATCTTCCTGGTGTGGCCAGAGTATGAAGGTGTCATCTACGTACCTTAACCATATAGTTGGCTTTAGAGATATAGATTCTAATACCATTTCCTCAAAGTATTCCATGTATATATTCACCATTGCTGGTGATAATGGCGAGCCCATTACTAAGCCCTCATCCTGTCGATATATGTGTGATCCCATTCCGAAGTGTGTTGTTTGTGTACAGAAAGTCAACGTCTCCATCAGATTATCTATTGGAATACTGGTCCATTCTTCTAGGGAAGAGTCAGAGGTCAAT